ACACACACACACACACACACACACACACACACACACACACACACACACACACACACACACTCTCTCTCTCTTTTTCAAGGGCAACCTAAGAAAGAGAGCAACAGAACTTATCCATCACACATATACAAGGCAGGATGGCTGCTGTGTATCCAGGTGTTACAGGGTGAGAGTCGGAGTACACCCTGGGCAGGTCGCCAGTATATTGCAGGGCTACACACACTATGCAGTAAAAAATGAAAAATTAATAAAAATAATTACCCGTGTACACGCCAAGCAGAAAACATTTGATCTCACTCTCTGTATTATTCTATAAGACCTGATAACCATCTCATCTCTGGCAGACTGAGAGCCGGTTCAACTGGGTCCTTGAAGCTGTAGAAGCTTAATGAGTACTGTAATGAATTTTTGAGCCCCTTCCTTCGTTATCAAGACATGATCTCAGAACAATATTAGTTTGCATTTGCATGCTTAAGTGCAACCAAGTTTTGACAGTTGTCAATGCTGAGGCATTGCCATTGTGCCTGGATAGCACTTCAGGTTTAATCTCAAAGGGAGCAGAGAAAGAGGACAGTTCTATTCTCTGCTTTCAGCACACTTTAATTATGCCTTTCAGTGAGAGAGATACATCGTCTCCTCCAGCCCGCCACTGCATCCCATTTATGCATATTAATGAGCATTAATTACACTCTTAATGAAACTATCAAAAACTGCCATGCAATTGATGTGTGGGCCTTCTCTTGAGGAGTAGGGAGGAGGGCTGCTCGGCCTTTGAAGATCAATGTGGGAGAAATCCAATTAGGCCAAAGAAAGGGAAGGGAATTTCAAGCAGTAGTGTTTCATGTCCATCTTTGCTTGCACGCAGATACAAATAAACAGACCAGCATAATAGGTGGATAAACATGTGCATGGGACGCATAATAGATCGAGAACACGCGCGCATGCACACGCACGCACGCACGCACGCACGCACACACCACAACCTTAAAAGTGACCTTACTTGAACCTTTAAATGTGTGCGATTTATATTACGGGCTCTTGCTTTTCGCCTCCATAGGGAAGACACGTCTCCATAATGAGACTGTGTAGACAAACAAATTTAGGCCCCCACAACACGAGTAATACCTACACCACACACACACGCCCCTTCTAAGATGTCATCCAGGCACAATTACGTCTGCTCTTCGCTCAATGAGCTCGTCATTTCAGAACATTGGCGGTAATTGGTGAGGCGGAAGGCCAGGGAACAAAAAGGGATCATCTCTGTGTTTTATCCCCCACATTAAGATTCTGTCTAGACAAAATTAAGAGGAGCAAGCCAGACACTGTAGCTTCTTACTACTCCACTGCTCAACTTATAATTAGCCTGCCACTTTCTCATCAGATAAGGGGTGTTTGCAGAGTCCAAAGCTGGCCTCTGACATGCTGTCAGGGGACTGTGCTGTATGCCTACAATCCAGTTGACATGGAAACATGTTGACACTGGGTAGTGACATGTGAGGGAAACAATAGGTGCCATCTGCTGGCCTCTTTGTCTTTGGTGTCAGGGCTTTCAGAGACACCTGGGCCAGTGTACACACGGACCTGTCTGAAGACTTTCACACACAATAATACTGTCTGATAAACCCCGCGGTCTAAAGTTGTGCTTCAAAGGGTTATCAGTATGGTGTTAGAGACTCACACAAAAGCTGAAGATAATACTCTGTGCGTATGGAACAATGCTTTAAAAAAAACAATAACAACACATTTAAAACAGCTTTGTTTCCTGCTTCTAACGCATCAGCCTAAATGCATCTTAAAAAATGCAATCATAACAAGATAATCCGAGTCATTCTCTTCACCTGTCAGTGCCTTTAATGCTAATGTTTTATATAAAGCCAAGTATTCAATTCATTTTACGTCTGCTTTAAATGTATATGGCTCATACGAGCCACAGCTTACTTACCAGAGGCCTTCTGTCGGACATTGTTCCGGGCCTTCTCCACACCCGGTGCTCCTGAAGTAGTGGCTGAGCGAGTCCTCATGGGCTCCTGTACTGGTGGCCCGCCCTGTTCCCCATGATTCCTCCAGCTCAGGGAGAATGAGCGTGCAACTGCTGCTGCCTTCTGAGAGTCCTGGATCACTCCTGACATACAAGGAACAAAACTTAGTGAGTGCTGAAGTGTTCAAGGGCATTTTGTAATGAACAAAACTAAACATTTAGATTCACCTAGAGCTGAAAAAACAAGAATGAAAATTAATGGGCCAACCCTTTTTATTTGACTTTAAACAACACAGAGTAGCTGGCAGAATTATCGTTTTAACCTTACATAGGTCACTTTTAAGCATGGCACCTTTAAAACAGGTCAAACAAGTGTACTGAATCGTACTGGTCAGAGTTAGTCAAGCACACAAAGAAAAACAAAAGACAAAAAATAAACCGTGTCATCCTTCCAATCAAATTAAAGCCACTCTAATCTCCTCATCTTTTCCCATTTTGTCCTCTCACCACGTCCTCTCTGCTTCTTCTCCTTCTGTTCACTGAGTTTGTCCAGAGGCAGGTTGGCCATGTCCAGGCCATAAACGGAGCGTGCCAGCACAGCCGTAAGCGAGTCCATGATGCTGGCCCATTCTGTCACCAGCTCCTCCCAGCAGGTAAGAGAGGACAGCACTGCCAGCAGCTCATCCCAAAGCTCCCGGGAGATAAATACGCACAGGTTGGCTCGTACCCACGCCACAATGATGGTCTGGATGCAGGAGGAGAAAAGACATGATGAATTAGCACCAAGTTACACATACAGTGAGACACAAACACGCTGAATATAGAGCAGGCTTGATAGCACGTGTACAAATAAAGACAAATCGCACTGTATTCAGAGCCAAAGAACAGAGGTGATGACAGATTCATCTCTATGACTGCCTGTTTATCAGAGTGTGTAACAAACTAAATGCAACCATACCCTAAAAAGCAAAGATGCTAAACTTTCAGCAAAGCTGTCTTTTCTTTGGTTGTCCTGTGGCCTCTTCATCACAGCCTCTGTGATTCTCAGTAGTACCTGCAACATCTGCTCCCTGCAGAACATGGACAGTAAATAAATTACAATAATGTCAATTGAATTCAATTTAAAAAAAAAAAAAAAAAAAAAGGGGGGGGGATAAAAATCACAAAAACCTTTTTTTTTTTTTAAATAAATAAATTTGCACATCTAAACATACTACTAACCACGTCTGTGTATTCATGGAGTGCTCCATGATCATATGCCGATAGATGCTAAGAACACCCTTGCACACCTCAACCTGATTTTCCAGGAGTTTTGGTACATCCTGGCATGGTTCCAACAGAAACACGTTGGATGAACTGGTCAGAAACACCTGCACGAACGTAAATGTGTGCAAACATAAAGTAATTAAGACAACAACAATACTGGAAAAACACTGATTCCAACCATCAGAGGTTATGAACACAGATATACCTGTAGTGTTGGCTGGATGCCGGCTTTGATGTTCCTGTTCTCCTCCTCGGTGATGAAGCCCTGATTGATGGCACTGCTGAACGAGTAGGTCCTACCCCAGCTGGACGACCGCTTGTGACTGTGACTCTCCATCATCTGGTAGAAGACAAGGCCGGCCAGTCAAATTCACAGTAGACGTAAACTAATTTATTAAGACCGGTTTTTCTATGTATTTGTATACACAAACTGCATGACTAAGGCCAGTTAATCAACGTAAGCTGGTTTTATGCACATAAATGCATCGTATCATTTGCATGTTACACGTTCGTTTTAATGGTCAAAAGGGTTTTAGTGTTTATTTCTCAGTCTGGTGCACCTATCATTCTACACCATTAACTGGGGCTCACAATAGGCTGCAGAGACAGGACACTATTTCTGGACGTTTGCATGATCGATACAGGCTGCAGGTAGTTTCTGTGAATAAAAAAAATAAAGCTGCTAATTGCTTTGAAGTAAAAATATGCACTTTAAATGTTGTGGTAATTAAGTTATTGAGGCATATGATTTATAGGTAGATCAATGTTTACAAATAACAGAAAAGATATGTCTAACAATGAAAGTGAATAACTAATAATATTCTTATTGCATTTCTGATTATTCCAAAATTGTTAGTAATTAAATGTTTTTTTCTGTAAGATTCTCAACTCAAATTGTACCAAGTCTGATACAGGCCTGGAAAAACTACCTGTAAGATGGGTTTTTGAAAGCATGGGGAAAAAAAACAAGGGCATAACTCTGATTTTTATACAACTTAGTCATTATATATGTGACAGGTTATTGCAAACTTATTCATCTTTCTGCATTACTTACTTGCACGTGCATGTTATTTGTCTCGGTGCTGATAATCTGTTCGGAGCATTCGTCCACTTCATCTTCCCGAGCAGTTCTGTCGGGTTCTGCCATGAAAGAGGGTTTCTCCTGCAGGAGCCACTTCCTGTACACTTTGATGACCTTCCTGGTTGCAGAAGCCTCACAGGATGGCAACAAGAAAGCCTTTGCAAAACAAATTAACAAGAAAGAAAGAAAGAAACCATGGCTCATTAGGATTAAAGTTAGTTTTAAATGTGAATCTGTAATTTAATGAAAAGGCCAGCAGAGGGCGACACAGTCCGTGTTACTGCAGTGCATCTTTGTTAGAGGCATCTTCCAACAGAACAAAATAGAAAATACTGGCAAAGGTTGCAACAGACGACAGAAATACTCCACCTGGTGGAAGATCTCGTTGACGAAGTTCACATTGTCCCGGGTGGAGAGCAGAATGGACTGCACCATGTCATAAACATGGCGGTGCTCCTCCTCAACGCTACACAAACTGGAATCGCTGGCTCGTCGATCTGACAGGGTGCTACTGTTGGAGTGGCTCTTCTCAGGCTCCCCCGCTGGTCCGTTTGCATCCCCATCTGATGTCTTATCCTTCTCCTGGCTGCTACTGCCTGCAGTGACAGTCTGGAAAACACAGCCAGGAACGAGAGTCCTTCAGTATGCAGTAGGGGGCACCTCCTCACACGGACCACTACAGTCTCCTTCAGCACAGATTACTTGGCTGTTAGTTTTAGCATTATTAAAAATTTTATAGCATTTTTAAAGGGAAATGAACCACTGTAGTATGTATGCAGCATTTGTCTCTGGATAAATCACATAAAAATCCATTTATTTTCTCCATGACTGATTTAACTCGAAAGTGACAGAACTGTTGCAGTCTGAAATAAAACCTCCATGACTCCTGATCGCCGTCATCACGATTTTATTTCAGCTATAATCTTAGTTTGAATGCTGTATTGCTTGTGAAGCTGTTGATCAACTATGTTTTATATAGAGGTAAAATAACATTTAGGAATGAATAAATGCCTGAATATTGTTCAGAAACATAAACCCCAGATGTCTTTATACTACTGCTAAAGATGGTGTGCTACAAAAACATCTGAAGGATAAAGAAGATCTTGGAATAACAGAATGGAGAAAGAAGAAACCAACACAGGGTACTGTGTGTTCACCTGGATGAGTTTGGGAATGACCTCGGTGCCGTTCTTTGCGCTCTGCGCTGAAGCAGCACTGCTGATGTACTTCTTCTCCAGGAAGAAAGTGACAAGCCAGGTGATGAAGGCCACACGAGGTGCTAGGTACTGATCCCTTGTGCAGAAGGTGCTCTCATTGTTCCGTGTCACTGGCACATACAAGGGTTTTGGTCTGTGGTGGGGGAGGTCTGATGGAGTAACACAGTGGATGAAGAGTTGAGGGCAGAGGGGCGGTTAAAAATGGAAAACAGTGGGAGAAAAAGACCAAGATAATAAAGATTAAATGAGTGGCTGTGGTGAAGTCAGAGTTTTTCCCACTAAATCAAATTGTTCATTTAAATGATGAAACAGGATATGATTTCATCATTTCCTGTATTTCATGAAACTGCTGCTCACGAGTAAAGCCGTCACTGTTTTTATTAAGGAAACTATTTTCTGCACACTTATCTTATTTTCTGTGTTACGGGAAAGTAATAAGTAAAGAAAGAGTAGCTGATGTACACTGTGTGTAACTTGAGAGAATACTCCTTTTGTAAATAAACATACTAAAACATACAAACCGGATTCCAAAAAAGTTAGGACACTAAACAAATAGTGAATAAAAACTGAATGCAACGATGTGGGGATGGCAAATGTCAATATTTTATTCAGAATAGAACATAAATCACGGAACAAAAGTTGAAACTGAGAAGACTGATAATTTTAAGGGAAAAATATGGTGATTCAAAATGTCATGGTGTCAACAAATCCCCAAAAAGTTGGGACAAGGCCATTTTCACCACTGTGTGGCATCTCCCCTTCTTCTTACAACACTCAGACGTCTGGGGACCGAGGAGGCCAGTTTCTCAAGTTTAGAAATAGGAATGCTCTCCCATTCTTGTCTAATACAGGCCTCTAACTGTATTATCGTCTTGGGCCTTCTTTGTCGCACCTTCCTCTTTATGATGCGCCAAATGTTCTCTATAGGTGAAAAATCTGGACTGCAGACTGGCCATTTCAGTACCCGGATCCTTCTCCTACGCAGCCATGATGTTGTGATTGATGCAGAATGTGGTCTGGCATTATCTTGTTGAAAAATTAAGGGTCTTCCCTGGAAGAGATGACGTCTGGATGGGAGCATATGTTGTTCTAGAACCTGAATATATTTTTCTGCATTGATGGTGCCTTTCCAGACATGCAAGCTGCCCATGCCACACGCACCCATGCAACCCCATACCATCAGAGATGCAGGCTTCTGAACTGAGCGTTGATAACAACTTGGGTTGTCCTTGTCCTCTTTGGTCCTGATGACATGGCGTCCCACATTTCCAAAAAGAACTTCCAATCGTGACTCGTCTGACCACAGAACAGTCTTCCATTTTGCCACACTCCATTTTACATGATCCCTGGCCCAGTGAAAACGCCTGAGCTTGTGGATCTTGCTTAGAAATGGCTTCTTTGCACTGTAGAGTTTCAGCTGGCAACTGTGGATGGCACAGTGGATTGTGTTCACTGACAATGGTTTCTGGAAGTATTCCTGAGCCCATTCTGTGATTTCCTTTCCTGTTTGTGGTGCAGTGTCGTTTAAGGGCCCGGAGATCACGAGCATCCAGTAAGGGTTTACGCCCTTGACCCTTACGCACAGAGATTGTCCCAGATTCTCTGGATCTTCGGATGATGTTATGCACAGTTGATGATGATAACTGCAAAGTCTTTGCAATTTTTCGCTGGGTAACACCTTTCTGATATTGCTCCACTATCTTTCGGCGCAACATTGTGGGAATTGATGATCCTCTACCCATCTTGGCTTCTGAGAGACACAATCGTGTTGCCAATTAACGTAATTAGTGTTAATTGGTCTTCCAGCTCTTCGTTATGCTCAAATTTACTTTTTCCAGCCTCTTATTGCTACTTGTCCCAACTTTTTTGGGATTTGTTGACACCGTGAAATTTTGAATCAACATATTTTTCCTTTCAAATGATACATTTTCTCGGATTGAACTTTTGATCTGTCATCTACGTTCTATTCTGAATAAAATATTGACATTTGCCATCTCCACATCATTGCATTCAGTTTTTATTCACAATTTGTTTGGTGTCCCAACTTTTTTGGAATCCGGTTTGTAATATATACATAGTTTGGGTTTGTGGGCTTACCTAATAAAGGCTTGTAGAGGTTTGTGAGCTTGGTGAAGGAGGGAAATAAGTGTGGAAGGTAGTACTTCTTGAACAGGGTGAAGAGAAACCTGAAGCCTGTGTCCTGGTTCTCTTTGTTCTTCCATTCTAAACTGGATGCCTGGCAGACAGACAGCACAATAAGGCAGACAAGGTCAGGCTACAGAGAGAGGAGATGCTTCCAACATCACAGCGACAGTATATTGTTTGCAACACAATAGCATGAAGGTTCCTCTAAGATTAAAAAAAAAAAGTACATAGACATAAACTGTTAGATCTGAGGCCAAATATGATGAAAAACTTTAGACTTAACAACTTAATTTACTTTTTATCTTACAGTGGCACAATACATGGAGGAGACCCAATCATGAAAACAAATGAAAGATGAAGCCAGAACAGAGTATGTTCACATTTGTTGAGCACTTCCATCACACGGCTGTCTATTAAAGACAGAAAAAGCATTTGCACATAAAAGGCATTTAATTTAAGTATGCAAGTGCATTTGCGCAAATTTTATAACACAATTTAATCTAGTCACTGAAAATGTTTGTGTCTGAGGAACTAACTGTACAGAACATGAGGAATTAATAGTTTAGCTGCTGACTTCATAAAATGTGCTGGGTTAAAGCTGATATTTTCATGATGAAAGAAATACTCAACTAAAATACTTTATCTAAAAGTATTAGAAGGAACCCCCAACAACAAGTGGGGTAAAGCAGCCATCAAGCACATCCAAAAATATCCTGCAGGCAGGGTTAGTTATGATAACATTACTATTCTTGCTGCTGTCAGACAAAGTGAGTTATTACCTGGATGACCATGTACTTAAGCAGTATTTCTAGGATATAACAGGTCAGGTCATCTGCAGCTTTTTCACCTGCCACAGCTGGAACCAGTGGGGTGATCTCCTCAGGCACCACCTTGGCTGCTCAAATCAACAGAAAGAAAGGACCCGAGTTAATGACAGAAAATAAACCTACCCAGTATTATAACTGGGTACTTTACATAATTTCAGTGGCAATCCTAAGCATGTACAAATGTAATAAAATCTATGGTCATTTAAATGTGAATACATAATGTGTAATGTGCTCCTCTTTTCTCACCATCTGGGGGGTTGGAGAAAGGGTTGTAAATGATGGTGTCGAGGGTGCACAGCCCTCTGGAGGAGGGCACAGCGGGGAATCCTGGCACCAGACAGGCAAAGATGAGGAACTGCTCCTCTGCACAGTGGTCCCTTAGGGCCTGCAGCCACAGCAGGAAGAGACGGATCCCCTCACAGCGAATCTAGACAGCGGGAGAAAAGGTCATTTTTATGCATATTCAAAAGGAGGCTACCGTAATTTTAACAATCCATTCAACTAAAAAAATATGTTCAGTCCATCTTTGTGTGCCAAGATTTTAAAAGCTCAAATTGGACACTTACTTTGAATGAATTTCCAGTGTGCAGAAGCTTTTTGAGAATAGAACCTGGAGGATAGAAAACGTGACAACGGTCAAAAACCGCTATTCAAATTTTCTTCTGCACAACAAGGAAAGAGACAAACCGCACAAAGCTGTCATCTCGACTCAGAAGAATTGACCTTGATGGGTGGTCTTGACAAACTAGTGGGTAGAGTGGCAAGGCTTCATATTTTCCTGATGAAAATTAACACGAGTTGGCAGCGACACACATTTATGAAGCCAATCTGGTTCCACTGTAATCAAATGAGACATCGGTCTGATTGCTAAATATCTCGGGAGGAAGAGCTCTGCATGTCTGTGCGTGCGTGACATGCTCTTGACAGGCAGCAGTCTCTTTTGAGGACGTTGTGGGCTGGAAAACACTTTGACTGGTCCTAATATTGATTTTAAGGTGATGATTAAGATCAAGAATCGGGTTTTGTTAGTGTAAAAGCCAAACCGCTGAACAGGTGTCTTAAAGTCCTGATCAACAGGCCCTTACTGAGGGAGCTTTTGTCTGGTCTTCTCATCAGAATACTGAACACGAAAGCACAGAGCAATCCTTTCATGGGTTGTGGGCTGGGGACAGAAGGATAACAAAAAGCTGTGCACATTTCCTTCAGCATCTTAAAGGTACGAGTGAAGTACCTGTGACCCTGCATCTCCAAACTAAAAGGCCAAAACCACCAAGTCATTAATGTAATTCTTGAGCTACTCTACCCACCACAAAGAATATGTCACAAGGTGCTGTATTTCCATTAGTAACGGTTCTGGATACAGCACACTAAAAATTATGTGAAAGAAAAAGTTAACCAGGCTGAAGTACACATATAACAGCACTGGATCTTGACCAGTGACACCTGAACTGATGTGTGGAAAAAAAAATTCTATGCGAGTGCAAGAAAGGCTAAGAGGAAGCTTTAAACCTGCGCGGATTTGTGATCCAGATGGACAAAAATGGTAAATATGTCTGGGACATCCACCCAAAGATAAGTGTTGATATTTAAAATTACAAGCCTGGGGAGGGTGGAGGCAAATCTGCAACAGTGATCTCAACCTGGACTGTTTAGCTGCCAACGGCTGACGAAAAACAGTTATAATTGGGGTTATCGCTTCTTGCAAGGGTTTTCCTTTTTTGTGCAGGACTGAAATCATGCATAATTCAATTACTTATTTGCATTTCAAATGAAGTGTTAATTTGCATTTCCCATTTACATCCCCTTCTCAGACTAATTATTTCCTCCTCATTATTAAAGGTTAAGGCTTGGTCCTGGTGACATTTTTTTGTCCTTAAGTGTAAAGAAATACAAAGCGTACACCTACCTGTCAGTTGTTACAAAGAAAACGGTTAAAATTCAAGCAAGTGCAAAATGTTTGATAAAGTGGAAAAACGTTACGTGCATACCTATACTGTGAAACTGCCATCTGTTGTAGAGCTTCTCAGGCAGATTCTGCAGGATTTTCTGATGAAAAACAGGACGTGTCATGATTAGCTTTAGAGGAGTGATTAGAGTGGTAGAGAACAGTACCTGCGTCAGCTGTGACAAACAATTCTGGTAGCTAGCTGATGAATGACAAATTGGGTAAAACACCCATTTATTCCAGTTATGTTTTCTGGATTTCTAAAACAAATAATTCTTTGCTGAATTTCCAAGTCAAACCATTTTTGACCAAAACACACATATACATACATTTAGACACAACAATGCAACAATACTCGTATCGATATTGAACCGCTCGATACAGTGCTTTCAGTTCGGTATGCATATGTATCGAACAATACAAAATGTTTTATTTATTTTATCAACTTTTCTTCTGACGATGCTGTCTGTGTTGAGAGCTCAGTGGATCTGCGTTCGACTACTCCGCCTAGGCTGCACTGTCAAGTGCAGATCCACTGAGCGCAGCGCAAGCTAGCAAGACAGAAGCTAAGATCGTTGCAACATGGCAACTGCCTCAACGCTACCTGAAATTGAACCTCCCCCACCCTCATTCAGATCTGGCCTTTGGACCTATCTTGGTTTTCATGTGACGTATGACCCTGATGTAAGCGCGTCATGGACAAAAGTAAAATAGTATGTCGGATGTTCCACGCACTGCTCAATCGGTGAGAACTAGTGCGTTAGCGCAGTTAGCTTGTTAACGTGTTGACGCCATCCAGCCCCATGCACGGGGCGATCCGCGGTAACTCGTTAACAGAGATTTGCCGTGTTGTGGCGTTAACGTCATTTTAACGAGATTAACGTTGACAGCACTAGTGGGAACACAACGAATATGACTGCACATATATGCCGACAGCATCCTAGTGCAAAGACAAGTGGAAGCAGACAAAAACAACAAGCACGCATGCTACAAGCTTTACCCGAGTCATTTAGACAGCCGTTAGCACATGATTCTCCTTATGGAGACCTGATATGTTTAATATGCTGCTGAGAATATAGCCCAGAAGAAGCGTATAGTATAGCTTTTGTTTTGGAAAGAGCCATTTCTCTGTAACAAACTCTTTTCCAAAGATGAGTGATTCCTCGATCAGAGATTTATTTTTATCCCTTTGTTGTTTCAGCAACATTAAATTTAAAAACTGTACGTTTGTGTTAAAATATATATTTATAATTTTAATAAATGACAAATTAAAAAGGCATGAACATTTTTTATCAAAAAAAAAAAAAATCGAACTGTGACACCAAAGTATCGAACCGAACCGTGAATTTTGTGTATTGTTGCACCCCTAATATATATACACGCATACATATACACACATATATATTTATTTAAGCAATGCCCTCTCTCTCCACTTTGCCTAGCCTGTCAGTGAAACCCTGTGACCCGACACAGCACTCATCACCTCACCAACAACAGTTTTACAACTCAATTAGCGAGCTCTAACCTTTGAGCAGACTATCATTATTCCTCAATGCAGCGACCCGTTAACTGGGTCCCTCTGGAAAGATGAAAAAAAATGCCCCGAGTCTGCAGATGTGTGCGGCTGTGCACATGCGGCTAGTTAACAGTCAGTTCATTGCGAGCAACTAATGCTCCACTGATGCTCCAATGACTCACTTCTCATCAAATCCTAATGACTGACCCAGAAAGACTTCATGATTGCAATGCAGAGGTCAAGCCTGTCCTTTACTGCTTTACGTATGCAGCTCTGACCCACTCAACCAGACAACCGATGGTGGTCAGCATGATAAAAAGCTCATCTGGTCTTGAGTGCACGAAACAGAGGCGAGAGAAGGAAAGTGAGCATGCCAGGAAAGAAATGGCAAATATTAGTCTCCTATAGTAACAGATATGAACAGTGGAAAAGAAACTTAGCACTGAAACAGAAACTGGCAGGATTAAAAAAAACTCACTGAAGTGATATACTAACAGAACTCTGTGCTTTATTAGCCATGGACATAACACTGGTCTGACAAATGGTATGAGCTTTATCTTTACCCTGTGCTTTGCCGCATTATGCTGAGAGCTGTGGTGGCCCACAAGTCATCTCAGGCTTTGAGTGTCTCCGTTTGTCAACAACTTCCTTTTTCCCTTATCATCTTTAACTTTCCCTTCTTGTCCTCTGAGACTAAATCCCCGTCATTATCAGTGACAGCAGAGAAACTGAAAGGCATACATCACTTTAAGGGGGCGCTGGATGACTATCTGTGCCATTCAACTTCTTTCTGATCCCCAGACTCGATAATATGCGTGTACAGGCGTGTGGCTGCACCTTGGTATTGATCCCAAGTGGGATTATTACATCTCAGCAAAGGCTGTGCTGGCCACCTTCATTTTGTCTCCTTATGCCAGTAGAGACATTATGCTAGTCGGTAGCACAGCAGGGTAGCCAGCTTAAGCCTTGTGTGTGTGCATGCACACAGTAACACTGTCTCTTCACAGAGCATTAGGAAGGGAGAGTGGGAATGAGGTGGAGAAGCTAGCTCAGAAAAACTCCCTGTGGAGCTGGAATGGCGGCCGCAACAATGAAGAATTTACCGGCTGATACAAGGCGAATACAAAATCTGCAGGACTGGATGTTGTTGGAGTTACACTAATCTGCAGCCATACTCCAGCATAAATATAAGGGCATTATTGTGGTCCAACAGCAGCCTTAACACATTTACATGATCCGCACTTAGATTTCCAGCAGTAGAGCCTGAACATGACACAGAATATGCTGCTTACAGATGTGGTCTACAAGGGCTTCTAGCACCAATCACATTGCAATGCTTTTAGATGAAATGTTGTACTTTGCATATTGTTTGGGATTTCTGGCAATCATAGAGATGAATATAGCATATATGGAGGAAGGACCAAACACAATAGAGACATAACGAACTAATCTACCTTAAACTGCAGTCAAGGATGTGCAATAATGAGAAAACCAGACAAAACAGGCAAAACTCAAATTATAACACATAGTAAGCAGTGTAGGAAATAAAGTGCAATGTATAGTGCTTGCATTCAATCAACCAAAAGTGGGCCCTGGGATTACAAACACTTATAGATGAAAAGCACAGAGAGAAGACGTCAGTTACACACACCTGCTTTGCTTATGCCACAACAGTGTGAGCCACGTACGACTGAACAGAAATTTGGCTAACATGCAAATTAAACCAAGTAAAATATACACAACTCCAATTAAATGGTGCTTTAAGCCCAAAACACTTGTTTTTATTCTTTGTTTTTAAGAAGAACACCAAAAATATGGGAACAGTGTTACAAAACTGTTTTAATTCCCCTCTGTGGCCAGTAGATGGCAGCAACAGCACATGAGACTCCTTCAGCGCCTTAACACCAGCTTCTCATCCATCTGCTACACCTTCCTCTTTGGTTGGCAAAGCCAAGCTACAGCATTCTAGGGTCCGTTTTAAAAACTCTTCTTAATCAGGTTACGTACTAGTGACAAAAATGTTCCTATCTGTAATATTCTGGACCAACGCACAGATCATCAAGATTCATCTGCTGCTCCCCTGTGCAACCCCAAGCTACACTTTGTACATTTGCATTATGCATAACCAGTGGGGGTCCAATGGGTAAACTGCCAGTCAAGAAGAATTAGACTGTAAAACAAATCATGTAACTAAATGGCCCTGAGCACATTTTTTTATTAGAAGCGTTAGCCGAGGTTTAGAGGAACAAAGAATATGAAGCAATTACACGAGGCCGAACAGAACTATAGATGGCTGCTCATGATACAGACTTAAACTATGTAATTAATTACTAATTACACACCTGGGCATTTAAAAACATGCAGGTCAAAATAAATCATATGCTACGGCTGACATGAATAAATCTCAGTTTAACCTCAGAGATCTCTCTTCTCTCAGAGTCTTTTTTTTCTGCTTGATACTTGTTTTAGTGTGTTGCCATTTTGGCTGATACTATTCCTATAAAAAAAGATTTCTCTCAGTCTGTGATCTCCAAAAACAAAAAACTATACAAAAATAGATTTATTTTGTTTATTAAAAAGTCAGTAAGTTAAGTCTCAGATCTAGATGGGGCAGCTTGACAGAGAGGATAACAAGGGGAATTCAGCCTGCTGACTCAGGTCCAGATGGCACTTGACATGTCAGGGTGAGGTCACGGAGTTTCAGGGGTCCCAAAGCTGTCCCTTAACCTGTTCCATAACCACAGCGGCACCAGTGTTCAATGCCACTGTTGTCAGTGAGAAGTAATCTCCAGTAATACAGGCGCATAAACAAACTCTTCCCCTGAGGCCTGAGAAGCTGGTTCTGGTCTTGTGACAGCAGAAAACAGAAAGAGGTCTCACGCTGGCTGTAAAACTCATTCTTTAGAGTATCCTTCTACTGTGCAGCAGCAAGAAAGAGAAATGAATTACATGTAGAAAAATATTTTCTCAAACACCAACTCTTGGCTCTAATTAGCTGATATCTGATTAGCAAATAAACAATTTACGACTGCAGCTTGCAAACCAAGAATGAAAACTAAAGACATGAACACATGTCATTACAAACCAAAAAACAAAAATCACAAAAACACGAATAAAACGACCACATGACAATAAAAAAAGAAGCCCTCCTTCCTTAACTTTCTGCACTCAAATCAGAAAGTAATGAACTAAACAAGCACACTTAACTTCACTGATCAACCTCACAACCTCTGTCACATGTGTCAAATTTGGCTCTTTGTTTATCACTAAAGGTTCTTAATAACTCTTGGCCAATCAGCAACAATGTGTGTCTCACGCACAGGTCACCTGACGAGACAGGTGGTTCTCCACAGCAGCTGGGTGCCAACAGGTTAAGACAGAGATGGAAAACCATAAATCTTTACCGAATGTAAAGAGAAGCCTGTTTATCCTTTTGGCACAAGTTTTTATTTTATGAAAAAAAGAGGAAAAAAAATTTTGTCCTTCATGTCTGAATCCATGTACAACACAGATATGGAGACACATCCATGCATCTACAGCAGATTGTGTGTCTTTGAAAGGCACATTGTGCTCACAGGGATGGAG